CGTGGTTTTTATTGCTATAATTTAAAAGTTATCAGTCCAGGCTTCCCTTGTGGTCTGTGGAGAAAGCTGGGCCCTCCCAGAAGGGCCTTGTACCTTGGATCCCTCCATAACTATGTCAGCAGGCAACTATTTTAGAATAAATGCTCAGTTCTGAGGTGACTGACAGGGGGAGATGAGCGTCCTGTCTCCTGTTCCCATCCATTCCTACTGCCCACCCTCCCCAAAGGTCTGAGATACAATCTCTCTCTGCCTGGCAGGATGCTGGGCTGTCTTTGGTAATCCTGTGGTCTGTATATGTGAAAGGTTCAGGTGAAATCCAGGGAGTTGCTCTGGTGTCTCATGAAGGGCAGAAAAGTACAGTTTCTGATCAGAAAGGGTAAAATTCATCATTCTGAAAATACTGCTCTGATTTGAGATGAGGAGCCCTACTCTGGCTTTTCCTGTCAGCATGCTTTTTAACAGCTACATACATGGAACCTCCCTGCAGCCCAAWTGAGCCTCACCTTCAGCTCTCACCTTCTCAGTGTTCCTCCTCCCCCTTCCCCATCCTTGCCCCAGTTTATTTTGAACAAAGGTGTCTGGGGTGTCTTGACATGCTGGGCTTTCCAGTGGTGTGACTCACTGAGAACCTGATTGATTTTGTTAGCAGCAGTGGATGTGCTCTGGGTATCCTGCTGTGCCTGTTGCTGCAGTCTCTCCTTACAGACATCACAGTGGGTACCTCCTCAGCATGGACAAGTGCCACAGTAGCAGGTCTCTCATGTGAAGGAATAACATGAACAAGCCTCCAGTGGTGCTAGTTTTCTCCTGAGCAGTGAGGGGGAAGGAGAAAACCAGTGATTGCCTTGTCCTCCATCTCAAATCTCATAATGTTCGTTTATAGCAGGGTCTGTTGGTGAGCTGCGGGGTGTGTGGGAGAGAAAGCTGGCAGGCTTCCTCTAGCACATGCACAGGGGAAGGTGGGGACTGGGAATTCCCAACTACAGAGAGGCAGTGGGAAAGTGGAGGGCAAGGAAGTAGGTGTGCTTTGGAAAAGGTCAGAGGCTCTTCTGAGGTATCTGAGACACCGGGGGGAGGCTGTCATAAAGCAATGGCACCAGCAAGGCACAGGGTGCAGCTTTCCTGGGGAGAAGACCCCCTCCTTTACATTCCATCATTACAGCTGCTGCTTTATGGCATTAACTATTCTTCAGCTCGTTGTAGGGTGGCTTGTGCCAGATGGGAGCCAGATGGCCCTGGGACCTGTGTAGGCAGTGGCTTGCAGCAGCTGGTGAGGGCACTGTAGTGCGAAGACTGCGCTGTATCTTCCTGTCCATCATCRCTGCATTCCTCTGCCCCCTTCTCTGTTAAAATCAGCCTCTTCCTGCTGCACAAACAGCTCTGCTTTAGTGGTGTCCTGTCGAACRGGGCTAGCAGTGCTGAAAATTGATGCTGCCTCTGCTATTTAGACTTAAAGAAATATGTGATACATGAACAACAGATTCCTCTGGGCTTTGCAGTTGCCCTGCCCTCCAGGAAATGTAACAGCTGCCAGCAATATATGAACAGAACTGAGTATCTTAAACCACACAGYATGTGACAGTCTTTTTGCTATGCTACCCAAGAATTAAAATGTTTGTAGGTTTTGACATTGTCCAGATATTGCAGGAAATTTTTTGATTCCCTTTGCATATATTTTCTGCAATACCCTTGAGGTCCATCAGTGCTGTCAAACTGTTTCTTCATCAGTCTCATGGGTTAGCCAAAACATCCTCATAATATTCCTAAGCTGTTCACTGACTGAGCACTCAGATYGCAATTCTAACTGGGTCATCTGTAAGACTAAAAAGAATGAAGAGAAAATCCCTGGAGCCTGGACCCCTCAATCTTCCAACCTGTTGAGCTCAGCTGAGTCCCACTGGAGGTGAATGGCACTACCTCATCTGGGAGATCCCAAATCCATGGACTCATTTCTACATTTTTCTCTTCATTATCAGCCACRGTGTTCCCAGTTTTTTCCAGCAGGGATGGAAGGTACAACCTTTTCCCAGCAGAATTTTCAGTTCAAGGTTAGGATGTATTTTTGTTTCCTGGTAAGTAGCACAACCAAAGTGGACCTTCAGGAAAAGATTGTATATGGGACCTTTTGAATCTGATGAAAGAAGAGATGAGGGGACAATGGAAGAGAAAGAGATCCAGTTGAACAGTAGGATATGTGATTTTTGCTTTCTGTGGATGGATTGCTTTCTCTGCTGGGAACCTTTCAGTGCTTTGCTTTCCATGGGTTGGAAAGGAACCATGGAAAGGTTTCAAGTTTTGACAGGTATCTGGGTGCCCAGGACAAAGAATGGCAAGGAAACTATGACTATAATATGCTTTGGAAATGCCACTACTTGCTGATTTTTGTGTTGATAGAATCATACAATCACAGCATATGCTGAGTTTGGAGAGACCCATCCAGATCATTGGGTCTGCGTCTTGGCCCTTCACACAACACCCCAGGAGTCACACCCTGTGCCTGAGAGCATTGTCTAAATGCTTCTTGAACTCAGACAAAGCTCGGTGCTGTGACCACTAGTGTTTTTACCTTCTAGACACATCTGAATATCCAGACCTGTAACTCAGCTAAACCCTGACCCTACCTAACTGCAGGTACCTTAGTACAGGAACCAGTGACTTAGAGATGCTGGCCATACCCAGATTTTCACTCTCCACTGTTGTTGGAATTTACTTGAGATTACCCTCAACCTTGAAGTCACGGTTCTGTAGGGGAATGGAAGTAACATTGTGTTTTTTCTGTGTCTTCTCRCAGAAGTGGAAGATGAAAGGCAGTTTCCTTCAACACTTTGTCAGCGGTCTCTGCCTGGAAAACCAGACTGGAAGAGTGGTGACCAACCCCTGTCAAGCAGGTGTACCTGGCCAACAGTGGGAGCTGCTACAAGCAACATGATGGTAGCACAGAGATCTCCTTGTTTGTTTGTGCATGAGACTTGGAGAGCAGAGGAGGATCAGGAAGGGAGGAATGGTTTTGTATGTCTGACCCTAAATGTTTTCGTTGTGCCCTTCAGTAAGCCACTGTTTCAGCTGAGCACTTGATGGTTTTGAGCCTTTCAAAGAAGCTGGGGATGAGAGGGATCAGGAGAGTTGTTGAAATCTTCCCATCTGTTGTCTCTTGTAGCTGATGCCTACATCAGCTGTGCACAGCTGCACCTAGAGATAGAGGAGGACCCAGCCCAAAACCTGCAGTGACCAGAATTACCTTGCAGCTCTCCATATCCTTTCCTTTCTCTGCATCCAGAGTTTACAACCTTCAGTCCAGCAGCTTAGGCTCTGCTTGTACAAACATTGGTAGCTCTTTGGYTTGCCTGGCTTTTTGCTCTAACACCATGCATCATTTATGCACATGTCCCTCATCAAGGACTGGCTGAAGAGTCGTCATGGTCAGTGGAGAGGCTGGGAAAGGGCTGTCAGATCCTGGGGCAGGTTTGTCACCTCTTTTTGGTGGGCCCATTCCTTCCTCTGCCCACAGTAACTGCTCTACAGCCAAATGTGCTGAGGCTGGGGCGATGGTGACGAGAGAGATTGAAAAGGGACAATATGTTTTAGCAGCGTAACCATGGATTGTTTTTGGGACTATTCCGTGTTGAATTCTTCCTTCCAGCTTTTTTATGTGTGGAAAGCCAGCCCTGTCTCCAAGAGTGACACAAGCCTGCAGGTTCAGGGTACCATGTTCTGGGGGAGCCAGAGAGGTGCCAACACTTAGGGATGTCAGGGAAGCTGGGATTGTTCTCTGGCTGCTCATCSTGGTGCTACCAGCTACTGCCCACTGCAGTCACACCGAAGGTGGTGCCCAGARCTGCGTGGGCAGCACACACAGACAGATGTGCTTGCTGTGGCTCAGGCTGTGGCAGGAGCCCACCCAGATCCCCACTGTGAGAGACAGGAGGGGACAGCYCCTAGGTCATGGCAGACTTCCTGCTGGCTGGGCCGGGCCGCAGTCCTCATGCCTGCCTGTCCAGCTCTGCACAGCCCCTGTGAACACAGCCCCACCCAATCCCCCTGTCTAGTTGCTTTTCTTCCTCTYTTTGAGAAAGATGAGGCAAAAAGGCTGGGCTTGCTATGCTTTTGACACCCCTCTCTCTTCCCAGCGGGCACCCTGGGGAGAAGTTATTTGGTGAAGCTGAAAGTGCCCCCTGCACAAATGCTGCCACCATGCAGGCCTGCCCTGAGAGGTGTCTCCTTTGTATTCTGGGAATACCAGAGACACTGGTGTCTCTTGCTAACATCCCAGTCCTGCTCCCAATTACCAGGCAGCTCTAGCCGAGTGTGGGTKTTCAAACCTGGCCAAGGGATGCTTACCTAGTCAAAAAAATGCAGTCCCCATAACCTTCTTCTAACTAGATTTGTGAAATTTTCCTCTTGAGCTAGATTTTGTAAACCAATCCTCCTTTCCAAGAACCTGACAGGGGAACCAGATGGTGGGACCACTTTCATGAGGCAATTCCTTGCCTGGATCCTTTCTGATCTGGTGTAGAAAAAACAGGTTGTTCGTTTGGGATCTAAACAGCTGTTTGCTTTTGCTCATGTTTGTATTTCTTTTTAATTCTTTGTAATAGCYTGGTGTTAGCCCAAACAGTTGACAAAAGAACAGATAATGTTCTTYCTACATTGCATGTGCTTAGTGTGAAAACTGGACAATGATTTTTGCTCTTGGTTTAAAAATATTAAATCCATCCTGTGGCGGGAGCTCTTTTCCTGTCTCCCCCTTCACTTTGACATCAGCTCCCCATCTTGGCACTGATTAGCCAGAGTGCCTGCACTGTGAAAGCTCATGAGGGAATTTCTTTTGATCCTTGCAGAATGGTGCAGCTGCTCTTCTGTGTGGAAATGAGGGTATTGACTCTGCAGTGATTTCTCTTTCCCTGTATAGAGATGCTTTGAGCTGGAACCACTGGGGTCAGGAGAGGGCAGAGAAAGGAGGAAAATAGCCTAGGAATGGAAAGAAAGCAGGACAGACAGACCCATTGAGGGAAGAGATGCTATTCTATTGGCTACTGAATTTTAAAACGAGAATATGCAGTAGGAGACAGGAACAGTCAAGTTCTTACATACCTGGCTTGAAAAACRTTGATGCAAAGACAGATGAAGGGCCACTGAGCAGGTACTGTACGTAAGCTCCACATACAATGAAGTGTGAAAGCATTACATATTTTCATCTAAAGGGAACCTAAATGGACCATTGACCTGCCCCCATTTCACTCTCCAGCAGCTCGTGGGCTGCAGCTAACAGCATGTTCACTCCTCTACCAGGTGCTGCTTTCCTCCTCCCTGCTCCCACTCTGTGTGCAGCTTTCTTGCAGTTCCTTCTCCATAACCACTCTGGGACAGGACCCAGCTCCTCTACAAACGATGCTCCTGACTGCTGCAGACACAGAAGCTCTGCTTACAAACAGTCTCCAAGCTCTGGGCCAGCCCTAACTCAATGGACTCTTGTCAGCACGATGCCCACTGCCCTTGACTGTGTTTGGCTCCAGTGCTGGAGGCTGCTGCCTGCTCCTGGAGCAGCCATACCTGGACTGGCTGTGTTGATTTGTGCCTCTCTTCCTACTGCTCTCCTCCTGGCACAGTGTGAACTGGCATCCTTGGGCTGTAAGCTGGGGCAGCTGAAGGCTGGACACTCTCCTTCTTCAGGTGCCCTGGCCTGGGGRAGGAAAGGCCAAAGGTGGACATATGCTAGATGTCAATAACTCAAGTTGCTTGTGGAGTYTGAAGTTTAATTTTTTAATTCTACCTGGTTTTGGACATGTTCTCCTGAAGTCCCTCCCAATTGCTCATTCTTCAGTCAGCTAAAGCATTGCTTTAGCTCAGTGTAAACCTCCCCACACATCATCTTTTGGAAGCCATTGGTTTCCAATGTATTTTACCAGTTGCTGAAATGGAGGTACATTACAAAAGGCTGCTGTCAAGCATGGGCAAACTGAACAACTTCTTGGAATAAACAAAGTYTTGTCCAAGCTCATTATTAGCATACTTTCCATTTCCCTTGAAGGGAAGGATGAACAATATTATCTCTGTTTTTTTTTTCTCCTAAGTCCACACAGTGCCATGTTTTGGAACAAGTTTGTGTTAGGATTTTTTCAAGCAAACTGTCTATTTTTAACAGAACAAGCAGCTGCTCACCGTTGTTTTCCTGTTTACTTTAAACAGTTCCCTAGACTGTCAATACAGAGCATTTGCATTGGTAATACCTTTAAAGAAAGCTGTTCTTGTATCAGAGCATCCAGTGTAATTTCCTGTGCTGTGAACCAATGGAGGTTTATTTAAGAGGAGCTGAATCTACTGTTGTACAGAAATCAATTACAAAAGGTTTATTTTYCCCACTCACTTATAAGTTGCACTTTGCCAGATGTTAATTTATGTGGAACCCAGATTAGTTTTCCTTTTTCTTCATAAAAAAGCATGTGCCAGAATCTGTTTAATGCCTGGAATAAAATCCATTTTGAAATAAGCGTTTCAGCCTTTTCTTATTCCCCTTTGCTTCCTCTTTTGGAAAAGAGCATCCTTTCTCGCCTGGTGCCCTCCTCTGTCTCTCACTGCGTTTGTTCCCCTGATAGACAGACCCCAGTTCTTTGCATGGATTCRTGGATTCTTCAGGAGGATACTGTTGGAGCTGGCACAGATGTGACTAGGATATGATGATGTACCTTCATCAGTTGAATATGGCCTTCTCAACTGGATAGGGAGACAAGTATCCTTCCTGGCAATTAATGGACCAACTTACATGCTGAAAGAAAGAGCTGAGGTTGTGGGGAATCAATTCTTCCTGTTACTTCCTCCTTGGTATTTTCCTTAAGCTAGCAGCTTGCCTGTTTTTTACRTAAGGCTCCCAAAGACCCTTCTGCTTCTGGCTTGAGGGTGAAGAAGCATCACCACCACCCACATAGGTCTCCTGGCTTGTGCATTGCTGAGCTTCAAATATTGTGATTCCCCAAGGAGGCTGGTGAGCTTTTCTAACCTCATATTATTTAAAAAGAAAAGTAAATAAAAAAAAAGAAAGAAAAGGAGGGGGGGTAAAAGAGAGGGAAAAAAACCTCAGCCAGCATTGTCAATTTGTGGACTTTGAGTTTAAAATCAGAGCTCAATAGCCTGCCAGTTCACCTGGCAGAGTTTTTTTCAAACTAGAATCAGCTGGGTCTGCCTCTGCAGAAAGCAAGCTGTGCCAGAGCATCTGTGTAGGGAAGGAGGGTGAAGGTTTGCTGGAARTCTGCTGGTGTGGGGGGATCCAGTGCTTTTCTGTGCTGCCTGATGCTTGAGTGCTGGGGGAGCTCAGTAAAAACAGAGAGGAGTTGTTTCTCTGTTAGTGCTGCTTCTGAGGCAGGACATAGTTGGGCTGTGTCCCTGAGCCCTGCCATGCACACCCTGAGTGATGAGCACCAAAGTGCCCTGGAAACCAGGAGGCTCTCAGGCTGTAATGATGGCTGGGAAGACTTTAATCAGCCCTGCCTAGGAAAATGATGCACTGATCTTCTGAAGAGCCAACTGGGGGATTGGGAGGGAAGCAGAAATGAGTGAGAGACGGGCTACCCTCTGAGGGAGGATAGGGTCAGACAGGCAGTGGTCTGACACATACATAATGCACAGAAGAGTTTGGAGCAGAAACAGATGCCTCTGAAGGGACCAGAACCCAGACTGGGAAAATTTATATGCGAGTCATTTCTCTGCTGGAGGCTGAAAACATAGAGGCACCATGTCCACAGCAATCATACAGCTGGATCAAATTCAGCAATGCTTTATCTAGAAAAGAAAACAGTTGTTTGGATTTGTTGTCTGTTTGTTTAGTTTGTTTTTTTTAAATACTCAAGTACTTCACTTTAGAAATCACAAAGCAGATCATTTTCTTAGAAATAGAGGTATTCCCCAGGCTACATTCAGTAGCTACATTCAGTAAATCTAGGTACCAAGGGACCATAATTTTCTTGTTTTGTTTGTTAAAAGGGGTTTGCTTCATGCAGAGACCTGATGGGAATGTCTCAATTCTCAAGACCCTCTGTTGTTGGGCTGCAGGGTGTGTGGAAAGGGATCTCTCTAGGCCTTTAAATGGACTTCTTCAGCATTTTAGAAGTACATTCTAAGTTCAGAAGCATCTGGAAACCCGACTGCTGCTCTTCCCTCGGGCAGGCATCCTAACATGCTCCCTGCATCCTTTCTCCTTTGGTCTCTACTGCTTTGTGAGTGTCCAGATTRGAGCAGAAAAGCTCCTGTATCCCTCCCTTTTAGGTTGCCTGAGATTCATTCTTTCATSATGACTCGTGAGAACTTTAAACAGAAGCAGAGAAGCCCTGGAGAACTGCAAATGGCGAAATTAGATATTTAGATCTACCTGAAGCAAAACTTGTTTTCAATGCGTTTGTTTTGCTGCTATAGTAGCAAAATCTGCCGTGCAGTGCCCTTTGAAAATAAACAGGATATTTGCAGCATGCTGGGCTTCTGGCTCAGCWTCTCCAGTAAAGAACTCTGTGCCCATGCTCAGGCAGGAGGCATTGTCCCTCCCTTGCTCTCCCAGCTTGGGTGCAAGGTAGCAGCCATCCACGTTTCCAGGGCTTTGTTTCTGTAAAGTGTTTTGCAAACGCCTGTGATACAGTCCAGAGCTGTGTTAAAAAATGTTCCTTTGCTGCAGCACCTTGCAAAGGAGCCGCTGGGCAAGGGGAGCCTGGGGATGGGAGTGACGTGAACAACCTTTTGCTTTTTTGGCTGATCTGCATCTGCTTGCAAAATGCTGCTTAAATCTCACCAGTGACTGACCAGTAATTAACACCAGGCCAGAACAAGGTAATATTTATGTGCTGAAAATGACACTGGTAAATGTTCAGATTTGCCTGGTTTTGAGACATCCCATCTGAATGGAAATAGCTTCTACTTGATTTATTGATGAAACTTGTGCTTTACAAGTCGGAGTCATTAAAATAAATTCAGCTTCATCTGTACTGCATGTTGGGAAAATAAAGAATGAGAGAAAACAAAATAATCCACTTGGGACAAAATTATGTTTTTAATGTGATTTTGGTGGAAGCCAGCTTCTCTCTCTTTGATTTCCATGGAAACTGGTACAGCTTACCATTGCCTGCAGCAGAGCTGAGCTTGGCAGTAACAACCGCGGCGGTGCACTGGGTGATGAGCTGGCCAGTGCCTGGGGAAGGCACAAATTCATGAGCGTGAAGTGGACAAAGCGGGTTCACTGACCCAAAAGGCCACCCGTGGATCCCTCTGCACCTCCTGGTCTGTCTGCTTTATTTTCCCAGTGTCTCTTCTCCCTGAGTTTTGTGTTCAGAGAGCAGGGCTGCTTTGCCTTTCCCCATCTCAGACTCAGCTGACGGGTRGATCTCAGTGTCCCCTTCTCTGCAGCAGCCTCAGCTCCTGGTAAGCACGGTGGCTGTTGCCTGCCAGGATGGCTGTGAGCTCCAACAGGCTTCATCCCAGCTCTTGAGTTCCCTTTTCAGCTCTTGCCGTGGCATTTCATGTCAGTGCCCCATGGGGCTGCCCTGGGGTCTCCTGGGGGTTGTTTGGTTCTAACCTCTAGTCCAGCTGCTTGGGTGATCAGGACTGGCCCTGCAGTGTAGCTGTATTTTGGAAGTGCCCACAACAGTTAAAGAAGTGGGACAGCTGCATACAAAGTACAGAGAATGGTTTATTTGAAGASATGACATATTTTACAGTTCACCAGAGTTCGTGTGAATTTCTTTACCCACCAAAACACCTTGTTTCCCAGTTCTCCCAACATATGATGAGGGCAAACCAGAAACCGTGTCAATGCTGATATGTTTTGAAGGTGATGGCTTGCATTTGCGCCCTTGCTGAAGAGAAGSAGTGTTGTTCCCAGTGCTGTGGTGAGCAGAAAAGCAGTGAAAGGGGAAGTACTGAAATAAGTACGAGGATGCTCAAATGCGGCCATGTTTCCAGTGTAGGAAAAATGGGAAGATGCTTGATGAACGCCTTTCAGCCCAATCAGTAGTAGAGTACCAGGGTAAAGAAGAAAGATGTGAAAGGAGTAGGAGTCTTCCTGTGATGGCTGGGGGTGTTTCTAGTACAACGCTGGTGGGTCAGGCTCTGGGGACAGCACAGACCTGTCTCTTGTTTCTAGTGCCAGCTGCCCCCAGCCCTTCTGCAAGCTGTCCCATTTCCATTTCATGAGACAGCTTGGCCCGTGCCAGCCAGCCAGGACCTGCAAGAACATGTTCAGACTGTGACTTTCAAGCCTGGTCCCACTGGAGGGATGTTACACCACTGTCAGCAGGGTGCACTGGTGTGAGTGTATCTCAGGCTGCAGCAGGAATGGGGCCCTGGGGTGAGCTGAGGCTGATGTCCCAGCCCAGTCTTGTACCCCCCTGCTCCTCTCCTTGCTCTGGACATTGTTTCTTCAGTCTTGTTTCTCTGGATCTCACTGAGGATCAGGCAGACCAAGGCTGGCCAGGACTAGAACTTGAACTAGATCTTTTCCACCCCCATTCCAATGATTCCTTACAAACATAAGAACCATCAGTACTACAGCTGCAAGTTCAGTGGCAAGAACATAAATAGAGGCAGTTAATTCTGAGTTTTGCCTCATCTTTAGGAAGGCCAGAGCGAAAAAAATGTTCTGCTGTCAGCTGTGACTCTCAGTGACTGCAAACCAGTCACATCATCCCCATACTGCAATAGGAAGTGAACTTTAATTCAGCCATCTCAGAAAAGCAAATAGCAACCATTTTTGTTGGTGTTTCCTAATAAAGCTTCTCCTGTGAGTTTAGTTGACTTTTTTCTTTGCTTGATCATCGTCTGAGGTCTCTGTGCTTGTGGTGCAGCATGGAAAAAGGAAGCCCTCCCTCAGGCACCAGCCTTAGCACTGACTGGCACCACAGCTGGCACTGCCTGGAGCTCAGGCTGGGCTGTACAAGATGCTGGAGTCACCGTGCTGGTGCTGGGGCAGTTTGCTTGTCCTGCTTCCCTTACTGTGACCACTACAGCAGTGACCACCCTGCAGCTGGTCTGTGAACCTACACCCACAGCCCTGCCTGCCCAAGAAATTCTTGCACTATTTAGTCCTTGTGTGTTCTGCCATCACCTTCACTTACTTYCTTTCTGTCTTTCAACAGATTTCATGGGTGAGGAGACTGAACAGAGAAACATTTTTCTTAGCAGAAATTGATGCTGGGCTTTCTGCTCACTGCTGCATTTTTCTTTCTCATTTTGCAGGATTGTGTGGATGTTGTTCATTAGTGCATACACTTGTCAGATTTGGGAGACGGATTCAGCCTGAATTGTTCCTGCTTGGACTAAATTTCTGTTTGTGTATTTTAAGATTATTGGCTTTAAGAAATGTGAGTGGCTGGGAGAATGCTGCTGKGCAGTCCCTGGCTTTGTGGCAGAAGCAGCAATAAAGAGCTGGACAAAGGCAAGTGTGAGAYTGAGGGCTGGAGGGCAGCTTGGTGGTTATCCTGCTTGGCATTTCTTCAGCAACAGACACAGGGAAACTGGTAATATAAATCTTGAAGAGGCTGCTAGGAAGGAGAGAAATACAGCTAGTCCTTGAATAGAAATGCTTCTGTACTAGCAGCATTTGGGGAATGCTCTGTACAGATCCTCCCTGTGTCCAGCATCACTTCCCTTTTGAAAAATCCTACCCATCTCAAGGTGTTAATCTGCAACGCTGCTTAATACAYTGATACTTCTGCGCATTGAAATCATCTSAGTGACAGCTGCAGATGAAGRCTGGACTGTGTTGGTTTGTCACCTTTGCTGCTCAGCRAGCTGCAGGGCTGGGAGCATGCCAGTGGTGTTTCAGCRACTCAGGCGTGGAGGGATCTATTTGAACCAGAAGTMRTTTTCTTCAGGCCATTTCTCAGGTTTTTGAGGGAAAGTAGCAAATTGTAGCAGAGACTTATTCCAAATTGCTAGGTTTGTTCAGCCTGGTGTATGAGGTTTGCAGGCTGCTTTGTCCTTTTGGCCCGAGTGGTTTTAATCCATGCCCTCGACCAGGTTTACCAGTACAGCACAGCCTGGCTGTGGGTGGAGATGCTCAGCTGCCACAGGGGAGTTGGGACCTTTGCTTTTACCTCCTGCCGTATCTGGGATTTTCATGGAGCCTTTTCCTCCAGGAGTTTAGCCTAAATCACTCAGCGTGTGAGAGATGATGATGTGGCAGCCTGTWGATGAACACAGGGAATTAAAAATGCAACAGACTAAAAGACTAAAAAGCRTACCAAAGGATCTTCTGCTTGGGGTGGAATTTTGGAGTGTGACTTAGAGTCGAGTTCTTTCACAGATCCTCTCAGGGCTTCAGTGCTGTGTGTTCAATATTTTGTATTTTATCTCTCTTAAACGCTACTGTGCAGTTCCTTAACTGTAGGCTGCACTATAACGCTGTTTACAAGGACAACGGATGATGTCAAAGTCCCTTTAATTACCCCAAGYTGAAGTGTCACCTCTGCTTTTTTTCTGAGGATATGAAAGCAATGTTCRAAGAGACCCACTTGGTACCAGAGCATTTTTCAAGGCAATCAACTCTTCCAAGCTCTTCTTCCCCCCAAGCAATCTAAATGCTAAATAGATCTTTAAAATAATTACCATATCTAAGACGAGGAGCCATTTTCCCCTGCAAACACCTGATGCTCATTAGCAACATTTAGTGTCACTCATCACTTCTGTTTACTCTAAACTTTGGTGGCAGGAGTTTGTCAGGTGTCTGCAAGTTCTGAGCCTATGCTGAAGAGTCTGAGGAAGACTCTAGAGTACAAATCCTTTGTCTTGAGAGGGAAGAGGTCTMTATGTCTTTGAAACTCTTCCATTTGTCCCATCCAAATTTCATTTTGATCTTATTAAAAATAAATAGTGCCAGTAAAGTACACCAGCCTGGCACCCAAATTGGAGATGAGCTTAACCCAGAGCAGCAGGGTTGTAGAAAGGTTGGCTTCCAAGCTTCTCTTTGCCAGGTTAGAACAGGACACAGCAGCACCCAGGAGCCCTTGGCAGAAGCAGCAGGTGTCAGTGCAGCCCCTTTGCCCGGGGACATCTGGAGCACTCCTGAGCTGTGAATGCCCCGGGGCTGCCAAAGCTTCCTGCAGTGGCTGTCCCACTGAGCAGAGTGTCCTGCCAGGGGAAATCCACAGGAGGGCTGCTCGCTGTGCCTCATGGCTGTCAGGAGTCACTCCCACCCTTTACCTGTGCACAACAGACTCTGGGAAACCGAGGGTTCTCAGGGTAGCTGGAGCTATTCCTAGCACTGCCTGCTAAAGCTGTTCTACTTTGGACTTCACGTGACAATAAAGCTTGGTTTGAACCAAAGGTGTATGATTCTAACCTATGGTTCAAGAGCTTTTAGTCTCTGGAGCAAGGTCTGGACCCCAAGATTGCTTCAGGAATTACTTTTGCATTTTTATTCAGCAGCTATTTAATTTCAAGCTCATAAACAGCCTTTGGAACAGAGCCTGGAATGCAAGACCTTCCTGTAAACACCCCAGCTGCTACTAGAAAACTACAATTACTTTGGTGCAAGAGGCTGTGTTTCCATTCTCTGAAGATCCTCTGCATTAACTAATTAGCACTGTTTACTGCTAGTTAGGGTGAGTGTCAGGTTTTTGATATTCCATACCAAGGATTTCAAAAAAGCCTCATCTACATTCAGTGTTCTGTCCTCTAATCCCTCTCGTCAGCCCCAGACAAGCCTATACAGCTAGGAGAAAARCAAAGAAAGCAGTGACTCTTGTCTTTCCATTTGCAGTGACTGTGTTTGGAGAAGGCTTATCAAATCAAGCGAAATGGAGGAACACTTTGTTTGTGAGTTCTGTTCGTGCTTACGGAGGTGGTCTGAACACAGCTGAGACTGGGGTGCTTCTGTGTGGGTGTTGAAGCAGATCCTGATCTTTGTGGAGACTGAAATACCTGAGGTGTCTCCAGCTTTGGACAATAATCGAATAGAGACTTTTAATTCCAAAAATCTAATGATCCAAATGATTAAAAACCCACCTACACCCTTTGGATATGGGCTTCTGGACACCGTACATCATCTG